AGCAGCAGCAGCGTCATCATTTTTATAATGGTATTATACGCCTCTGATGTAAACGGTAATTATATTTGATATGAGAATTAATTTCATTTCCTCTCATTTACTAACCAATAAGAGGCGATGTTCACTGTTCACTCACATGAAAGGCTTTTCATAAACGATTTATCAATTGGGAAATCGCTAATTTTCTCACTTTTCTCCAGTGCAAGTGTTTTACGAACTTCTTCCATGTGAGGGTGTCCTTTCACAACGTAGTTTATTATGGTCTTCCACAACTTCCTATCTACTGTAGCTCATAGCAATATTTTTTTTTATTATTATACTTTATTCACCTTTCCGATTATCCATTCACAAAGGTTACTAGCAGCTTTCCCTGTACGTCTTGCCTTCAATATGTCTCGTGAGTGACAGAATCTCCAGGTCTCTTTTCCTGATTGTCTTAAAATATTCAACTGTTTCTTTATAATTCTAAATATGGGCATCCACTTTGTTACAATTTTCCTTCCGTCCTGGGTTTGATGATAAACTACATCCGGCAGTAAGGCTGGTGATCGTGAGATTGGAGGTTATGTAGAGCGTGTAACCACCGCTTAATTGCTGCTGCGCTGAAATGTTTCTTTCTAATTCTAAGTGTAGTCATCCTTTTCGTTTCAATTTTCCTTTCGTTCCGGGTTGGATGATAAACTGCATCCGGCAGCAAGGCTGGTGATTGAGAGATTGGGGGTTTTGAAGAGCGGGGAATCAGCGCTTAACTGCTGTTGTCATGAACTGGCGTGGTACTACCTTTTAGGGCCCCAGCCATGAACAAATATTGAATCTGATGTATATTCTCATAATAAAAAGACCCACAATACCTTTTATGATTTACAACATTATATATATATATATATATATATATATATATATATATATATATATATATAGATAGATAGATAGATAGATTGACAGAGAGAGAGAGAGCGAGAGAGTTCACTCTGAAAGTATAAAATTATGTATACAATATCTATAGGTGAAAGGATAAAATTGCATAAAAATATTTAGATTTAAGTATTAAACAACTGACCTAAAAATAATCAGCCAAACAACCAATATATTTTCTTTAAAACTTCCTAATTTGCCACATGTTCAGTCCATGGTATTCTCAGCATTCATCTGTAGACACAGAGTTCTATTGGCTGAGGTCTTTAATTGAACTTCATTACTCATAATTTATTGTCATATAGAAGGCTTCATATTACATATCAGCTCAGCGTTTCTTAATTATTTCTAACGAGGTGTTTTTATTAATATTTTGTTTAATTTTTTTTTTGGCGGGGGGGTTATTGCTATCCCAATGGGTTTTCGGATTTCGGTTTTCTTAAATCCCTGGCCATAAACAGGAATTTTAAAATAACATGGGACTGAAATCAACGACGTGATTTTTGTGTATGTTGGCCGTGAGTTTTTTTTTTTTTTTTTTTTTTTTGTAAAGATATTAGCAACAGAAATGCTTAGCTGTAAACGTATGAACAAGTCTTAGAAATGTGATGCTACAGAAACACCCGGGGTATCTCTTACGTATACCTCTTCAAAAATGACACAGGGCTAGATCATATTGGTGAAGAAACATACCCCTTGAAGGACTTCATAGCCATCGTCAGGTTAAAAAAAAATGAAATGGTATAGGGTGACATAAGAATCAACAATTATTCCAACCAACAAATTATTCTAGAGAAATTTAATCTTAGAATATAAAAAAAAACAAAAACACTAGGCGAACAGAGGGAAAAAGCACTGAATAGACTGGAATAGCAGAATCAGCAATTTTCATGCAAGCTATATATCTGAAGGACTAGTGTCAGTTGGATGTCAATTTGAGGACAGTGCTGACGATTCCCAAAGAGTTGGACGAGTTTAATGGTGATTACGAATGTGTTTAGAGTGATCTCTTGTGATGGCGGCGTTATGCCACCAATTATATCCAAAGGGCCCCAGACACAATATGGAGTCATATATCAAGGGCCTTGAGGAGGTAGCGGTGCCCTGGGTGAAGACGGTGGCAGCTGAAATCCCCTGTGTCTGGTAAAACGACTCTGAATCATGCCGCACAAGCAGGCGAACCCAGTCATGGATGTCAGACAATTACTGAATTACCTTATATCAGGCCGCCTAACTCCACAGACTACAAACCATTCTCATGTGTGGGATGCAGAGATCAACGGAACTACTTGTAACGGTAAAGATGAACTGAAGGCAAGAATTTTAGCAGCATTCATCAATTTAAACAAGGCGACTGTCCAGAAGAGTTGCAGGTGATTCCGAATCCGTCTGTAGGCTCTGGGTAAAGTCAATGTCTATGTAATTGAATGAATTTATTCTTTAGTACTTCAAGATTATTTGTGTATTTTTTTTTACACATATCTATTAAATTGAGATATCAGCGTTATTTTCATTTTAGACGAAAATTCTCCTACATATATATATATATATATATATATATATATATATATATATATATATATATATATGCGTGTGTGTGTATTTGTTTAATCATTTCACCCCAAGCAAGGAAATTAAACCACTAAAACGCAAGCATTTTTTGCGTAATTGTTTTAAAAATACCTATTAAATTGAGATGACAGCTTTATTTTCATTTTATACGAAAATTCTCCTATGTATGTATATATATATATATATATGTGTGTGTGTGTGTATTCGTTTAATCATTTCATCCCAAGCAAGGAAATGAAGCCACTAACACGCAAACATTTACTAAAAAAAAATCACTTTATTGTTCTACCTAATTAACAGTTTAAAATGATGAGACCTTGCCGCCCATCAAGCACTGCGTTTAAATTCATAAAATCTAAGTACCATAGCGGAGACATCATCAGAATAATTAACATGAAAGTGTCTCTGTAAATGGCACAGGGAGACGACGTTTCGCCAGTGGTAAAATGACTGAAGCTGTGATGTCAGGTTAGGACGAACAACATTGCAGATTATTTGGATTTTGTTAAAAATCTCTAGAGACAGAGCAGAAGCACCAGACAGGATGTGACAGAAGAATTCAAAACTTGGACAAATGTTGGACTGGTAAACGTCTGGCGAGGAATATTGTCTAGCACGAAGCAATAAATTTCGTAGCAGCGGACCTTGCAATTGATTTTATATAATCTTTCCACTTTCAATGTTGATAAAGCTGATCCGGGCCTCAGTGATCCTAGGAGCATACTTGGTCATGGAATAGATGAATATGTTGAGGAATAAATCTATCTGTATCATTAAGAAAAAAAAAATCTTTGAGTTATTAGTGTTTTTCATTCTAAAAAATATTTGTTTTAATTGATTCAACAAGAAACAATAAAAGCATTTGCTCATCTTTAGGTCTTCAGCGTTTTTCTGTTTTTTTTTTTTTCTAAAAAAGGAAAAAAAACTCTTCTCTCCTTGTTCACGACCATATTCAGCTCGGGATATCCATTTTATAGACCGAAAACTGTTAAGTTACTCACACATCAGCGCATTTTGATAATGTCCGTCCTTGATGGTTTCAAGGAAAAATGCTGAAATGTTTATTTTCTGAGGCCCATAAACGAATTTTCAATATTTCCGTTTGGATGGGATTTCATTTATTTAAAAATAAAAAAAAAATGTTTGAATATTTTGCGTCTTCGTCTCTGAAACGCATTTTCAGTATATCCGTTAAATAAGTGATGGTTACTTATTGCTTAAAAGGAAAAGCAAGATCTTTTAAAATTCAGGATATAGAATTTAAATAGAAATATACAGAATTGAATAACCTAAACTTAATCTAAAATTTTTGCTGTTACACCTGGTATCTACACATACATATATATATATGTGTCTACGTATATATTAATATATATATATATATGTGTGTGTATGTATATTTTAATATATATATGTGTATATATATATACGTACATATTTATTAAAGACATTTTTATGTTTAACGTTCTTTTTTTTTTAGAGATACAAGTATTTACGTAAATGCTCTGTTTATAATAAACAGTATTAAATAACATTTACCGGCCTGAATGTCCGAGAAATTTTCATAGAAAATATTCGTCCTTTGACAGGATTCGAACCTGCATCCTATACAGAACCTTCATTTACGCTGACGTGCCTTAACCGACAGCCACAAAGGAGCGTTCGGTAGTTAAGGTCGAATTTACTGCTTATAAATTTCAATCTTCCATGAATCTCGTACATTCATAACTGCTCTGGCGTATCAAATGTAAACAAATGACGTCATATATTAAGAAATGGACAAAGTCCGACAATTTATTTATTAAAGACTTTTTTATGTTTAACGTTCTTTTTTATAGATACAAGTATTTAAGTAAATGCTCTGTTTATAATAAACAGTATTAAATAACATTTACCGGCCTGAAAAAAAATCTTAGCCTTATCTTAATCTAACAATTTTGCCGTTGCACCCGGTATACACACACACACATATATATATATATATATATATATATATATATATATATATATATATATATATTAAATTCAATTCAAGAAAGACATTCGGATTACTAACGCAAAAACAGAGAATGTCTCATATCGAGAATATTTAACATTGTAAAACATAAGGAAAAAATTAATTATTTTTAATAATATGTGGAAATCTCCGCCTTTTACCTGAAGACGGTCGCGAGCCCAGAAAACCGTGTAGTAAAATTATGGAAAATAAAGCATAATATTTAAAAAAAAATCCACATTACAAGCAAAAGCTTTTGCGGCACCTCTCTTCTTTTTCATCTACAGACTTTTCTCTCGTTGGAACCACTACAATCTCTTTCTCTTATTTATATATATATATATATATATATATATATATATATATATGAATGTGTGTCTCTCTCTCTCTCTCTCTCTCTATATATATATATATATATATATATATATATATATATATATATCGTTTTATGTATATATCTCCTTGTACTACATTTCTGTTTTTTCTGGTAGGTATGAAATATTTTTTTTATCCTTCT